TTATTTTTAATTTTTAATTATTGTTTTTTTTTATTTTTTAAAATAACTTATTTTATTGTTGAATACTTGTCTATTCCGTGCACTTATTATACTAATCTAATTTTTTTTATAAAAGGTTTCATAATTTCATAATTATTTATCTTTAGGTAATTTTGGATTAATCTAATGAATTAATTTACATTAAACCTAAAATACAATATTCCTTTATAAGTATTAAAGCACTTAGGTGATTTTTTAGTATTTAATTTATCCATAATTACTAATTTTAAATGACATATTAGTTGTTACTTTTAACTGTATTATTAGAAAGATTTTACAAGTTCTGTACTTTTAAATAAATATCTTAATTTTTAGTTTTCCAAAATTTATAACTCAAGCAAAAAAAATGCAATGTAGTGAGAAAAAAAATTATTAGATTTGGAGAAATTGATTTCATTCCGTTTTTCCCAAAAACTAAAAATGTCAAAAATAAATACAACAAAATAAAATAGGAACCTACAAATACTAAATTAAAGAAAAATATAATTAAGTGTAAAAAAATAATAAAAATAATAATTATAAAGAAAATAGAATAACTACAACATCACAAGAAGGGCTCTCGCTAATCCTCATCCTCATCCTCATCCTATCCTCATCCTCCTCCTCCTCCTCCTCATCATCATCATCTTCATCTCTTTCTTCTTCTTCTTCTTCTTTTTCTTCATGTATTGCTACTACTCATGCTATTGCCAAAGGTCCTACTCCTAAATATAATTGAAAGGGGGATGGGCTAGGGAATAAATTTTGCTAGCCATGGAAGCCCACCTCCTAGCTCCTAAATAATCCTACCATAGCTACAATATAATCAACCTAGTATTGATATTACATTTAATGTTAGAGCATCATATGGGCATAACAGGTGTACATCTCTTACTTTAAGAAAATTTCCTATTACATGAAGTGATCCATAAAAAACTTGATCCGATCAACTCTTTCTCAGAGGTCAACCACCTGATCTCCTAGCTTCCCATGATATCTACCCAGCTGCTGCATGGTTTGATTTGGTTGACCATATCCCTCATCTTGCTCTAACTTGGTGATTTTGAAGGACATAAACTTGGATCTAAATAGGGTAGAAGCAAGAAATACCTGATCCTCCCCTAGGTTTCCTATTACCTTAGCTGACTCACATAGATTATATACAAGATTGGGATGCCCTAACTTCTACAGAAGTAGAACCCTAAGCTTATACTAAATTTATTGGAAGATAATTTTAAAAACATATGTACCTATTTCCTTTTAAAAAATAATTTAAAATAACTCTATCCTTGGTTACCTCACAAATATTACTTCTCAGCATAAGCTTCACATAAATGAAATAATGCCAAAATTTTGATTATTAGGTGAGGGTAGAGACAAGAAAGCTTATAATTTTATTTTCTCAACTCTTCCACTTGGCACAAAAAATTGGGGTTTTGGAAGACATGATTTATGTACACAACAGTAAAATGGACCCACTTACCACTTATAAAAGCACATTCATTTTGACTCTCCTTCGCATTAGCAAAGAATTTAGGGATTATTCAAGCATTGGCTAGATAGGGATGGATAATTAGGATATCCCAATTATGCTCCACGATCTCAAACTGGTTAACCCCCCCCCCCCCCCCCCCCCCCCCCCCCCCCCCCCCCCCCCCCACGCACCCCGAGTTATCATTACCTTATTATAAAATGATAGATTTACTAAGTTATTATACCACTCTTCAATAGTAGAATAACTAGGATATCCAAATTATGCATGATAGGAGGCTGAGCCAGTTCTCTTCATACTTACAGAGATTTTAAGGGCCAATCTAATAAAAAAAAAACTAAAAGTAGATCCTAACACATGAATGCAAGAAGAACTTTAAAACTCAAGAATTCATATGAGAGATGAAATTCATCCCCAAGTCATATTTAAAAACTAACTAGTGCCACGGTGCTGGCTTGACTAACGATATGGCATTAAGTCATGTTTGATCATCATGGGTACTAGCACTATAGTGTTGGGGACATGTAGCACTAAGTCTCCCACCTAGGGAATTAAAATTGTAAGCTTTTTGGCCATGTTAAACTTGAATCAACCACTGGTATAATGATTTATCTACCCTATTTATGATGTTATAAAGCACTATAATGTTGTATGGGCGGTGTTGTATCACTTAATATGACAAAATGATTAGAAAGCTCAATGTCAGGGCACTACATGGATGCCACTACGATGCTCTAAAGGGTGATCTGACATAGCAGTGTTAGATTCCTCTAATGTTGTGGTGTGATTAACTCAATTAAATTTTTTAATAATTGATATGGTGTTGTAAGCTTTAATGAATAGCTCTATAACACTGAGTTAATTTTTCTAATTCAATTTCTTATATCGTAAATTAAAACTATAACACATATAAGGATACTTTTAAGCTCACATCTAACCACAAGATTTCTAATCACAAAAAAGAACACTAATCACTAAACTCCTAACCACATATAAGGGTGACCAATTTGGTTGCCTCCCAAATAATGTTATGTTATAGTCTTCAATTAGACTATATCACAATTCTATTCAAGATGAACCTGCTCTACATAACTTCTAGGGTGATCAAAATCTCATCTAAGATAGGTTTTTAATCTTTAATCATTGACTTTAAAAATTTGGGTAGTTTTATTATCCTAAATATTAATAGCTCCATAAGGATACACCTTTACAATAATGAATGGCCTTGAGTACCTAGACTTCAATTTTTCTGGGAATAATTTCAATCTTAAACTATACGTAAGAACTTCTTGTCCAAGCTCAAATTATTTCCCAATGAGCTTACAATCATGCCACTTATTAATTTTTCCTTATATAATTTTGCATTATTATATTCCGTATTTCTAAATTCCTCTAAGTCAAAAAAACTATATTAGTCTTTCCCTTTAGCATCCTTAAGATTGTAATTCAATTATTTCACTAAACAAACTACTTTATGCTATAATTCTGAAGCTATATGATAGGCATTTCCAAAAATCAATCTATAGGGAGAGATTCTAGCATATATCTTTAAATGCAGTCTTATAAGCCCAAACTTCATAATTTAATTTTAAAGCCTAATCCTTTCTATTTAAACACATAGTTTTTTCTAAGATTCTTTTAATATCCCTATTACTTTTAAACACATAGCTATCATTAAATTAAAATATATCGAGATGACAATGAGAATACATCTTTCTTCACAACTAAAGGCTTGCATTAATATAAAGCTATGCCCTTTAGGCTGAAGAATATAAGGGTGACCTATCAACAAATGATGGATAAGGTCTTTAAGGACCATATAGGAAGACACATTGTGGTATATATGGATGACTTCCTAATGAAGAGCAGGTTACTCGGCCATCATATTGAAGATTTGAAGTAGACATTCACCAACTTAAAGAAGTATAACATGAGGTTTAATTTACTGAAGTGCACCTTCGGAGTGAGTTAGGAAAATTCGTTGGATTTCTACTTACACCAAAAGGCATCAAGGTCAACCCTAATAAGGTGAAATCCATACTTGAATGAAGTCACCCAAGAAGGCCAAGGAGGTGTAGTTACTTAGTGGGAGAGTCATGAGCTCAGCCATTTCATCTAGTAACTCGATAAGAAGTGCTCACCTTTCTTTAAAGTTCTCAAGAATGTGAAGAAATTCTCTTGGGGTGAGAACTATGAAACCACTTTCCGATAGCTGAAGATCCTTCTCACCCCACCACTCTTAGTTTTATGCTCATCCAAGAAGAAGGAAAGTAGTACTGTCCAATCTACTATGTAAGAAAGACACTCAGAGGCATGCAACAATAAAAACCAATCATGGAAAAGCTTTCATGTGCACTAGTATGCTCGATAGGAAGTTTGTGACCCTGTTTCCAGAACAATCTTATTATTGTGGTAATCTATCACCTACTCAAGGCTATACTTACTAAGCTAGAACACTATAATAGATCGCTCCAATTATTTATAAAACTTCATGAATTCTAAATATTTTATTCAATGAGAATGGCCATCAAAGCCCAAGTGCACACTTTGTTATTTGTTCACTTCAACTATCTATGGTTGAGTTAGAGGAGGTGGTTTTTTTATAATATTATAAACTTAATCTTGATGGTGCCTTAACTGAGTAGAGAATATATAAAGGAATGATTCTAAGGATCTCTCTGAAGGAAGGACACTCATCGAGTTCTTAGGCAAGGTTCATTTTGGTTGACCTTGATGAAGGACACAAAGGAGTTCTCAAAAAAATAATTGTAATGTGGATAGTTCATCCCCATGTAAATTAACCCTCACACAAGATACAACCAACAAGTAGCCCATAAATATTTGCAGTTTGGGGAATGGACTTGTTGGGATCGTTCCCTCCATTTATGGGGTAGGGGAGATTCATCCTAGTCATAGTAAACTACTTCACTAAATGGATAGAGGCTAAATACCTCTCCTGAATGACCTCTACCATTGTGAGGAATTTCATTTTGAAAAATAATATATGTCGACACTCTGTCCCTTTCAACATCATCACAGATAATGTGTCAGAGCTCGTCGACCAAAGTTTGAAAGAGTTCTACAACTCATAAAGGGATTCATTTCAAGCTTATCTCAGTTTACCACCCTCAAACAAATGATTAGGTTGAGGCCGCCAACAAGCTAATATTTAAACTTCTCAAGAATAAAGTAGAAGGCGGCATATAAATGGGGTGGACACACTCCCCTTAGTATACTAGGCCCTAAGGACAACCCGCTCTTCAGTGATTGGGTAAAGCTCTTTCTTCAGCAAATGGACACCCATAATCACCTTCTCAGGTATTCTAGTAGGTAGCGACTAGGTCACGACAAGATTATTTACTCTCAAGAGTAGATCTCTCAAAAGGACTCGCCTGTAATCAAAGGGGGACTCGCCTAACGAGAATGATGAACATCACTCGCCCACATATGTCAAGGAGGTGTCACCCTATACTGGGAGACTAAGAAGTTCCTCACTGACACACCAGACCAATCATCAAAAGCTATGGCCTATTTCTCTCCTCATCGTCTGCTTCCTCTAACATCTAAAGCCCCCAAATGTCCAAAACCTAAAATTCCTGAAGTTTCTCTATCTTTCTTCACGTCAGCATTCATCCCCTGCGATCCCCGACACTCTAACCCTAATCCTACGAGTCTTGGTGAATCTTCTCTTCATCACTTCTATATGAATGCGAAAGCTTCCAATTTGGTGAGTCGATCAGGGTTCATGAGAAGGGATGTGTTGCTGGGTACGCTTCTCGGTGCTACTTCTTTTCCCTTCGTTGCCTTTGGATCATTAGCCGAATCTGGTATGTTATGACCGCATTTTTACTGTCGGCTGTTTGGCTACAAGTAGGATTCAGTTCAATTAGCATTTATTAAACTTATAAATTTTGATTTAGTAAATCCTGGAGGCAGGAACTACTGAACATTGTTTTGCATGGTCAATGTTAAGTCTGATTAAAAAGTAAATTGTTTGACATATATTTTTCAAGATTTATATTTTAAATAAATAATAAGAAGAGGAACAGAGAAGTGTTATAAATCTCTTAAATCATACTTCCCTAGCATAAAACGGAAAAAAATGAGATTTAATTAGTTCGTAGGATTTATGTGGCTCAAATAAGTATTTGGCAAGATTTAGACTAAATCTAGCTAAATATTAGCTAAACCTTGCAACCAAACAGCCCTTCTGTTTCCAGCCTTAAGTTTGTTACTTTATTGAATTTTTATGTAATTGATTTTTTGGCTTGGTTTCCTGTTAGTAGATCTGCTAGGGAGCTTCCAAGCTTACGAGGATGAGAACAATAAATTTCGGATTTTTGTTCCTGAAGGTAAGCACTGACCCGTTATATAATAAAATTCTAGAGGAACTGCAAAAGTTATGCCTACAAATATTGATAATCATGTAGGCCTTCGAGTTTTGCTCAAAATGCAATCTAAAATGTAATGATGTAGTCACTAGAAAATATGTGCTTTATATTGATCCATTCTAACACAAGTGTTTGAAAGTAATTGTGGTCAAGCATCAGAAGCGAGTTTCATTGAGGTGAGCTTTGATAACCACTATTTATTTTGCTGAAACTTATCTATTATGAAAACATCTTTTGTTCTTCTTTGGGCTACAATGATATTCATTTTTATCGTGTAACCAACCCTAATCCATCACCCTGATAATTGTATGTTTTTATATCATTATTCTTATGTCAAAATTAAAATAAATTAGTTACTTTATGAATATATTGGGTTCAAAGTTGTCAATGGGCAATTTTGGAAGATTATTGACAAGAATGGTTAGGAAACAATAGAAAAGTATAGATTTGAAGAGAATCTTGATTTAGAAGCTCTTAGATTTTATTAAATTCCAAGAAATCTCAATATTTGAGTTAAATTGAATGTCAAGGCCAACCTTTTGACACCATAGACACAATTTTATAGGAATTATTACATTAATACAAATAAAATTACATTAACATTTTAATAAGTGTTTTTTATAAAATGAATGAACTTGACTTGTAGCTAAAAAATATACATAGAGTACATATTGATATCTGGATATTGGCTGAATTCATGTGAATTCGGCCTGGTGACATCACTAAGGCTCGCTGAGTGCGGACAAAATCTTTTTATGCTTGTGTAGCTTCTAAGGAGCTGAGGCAAGTAATATTGGTGAAGGCTCGTTTAGTGCTGACAAATACTTTTTATGCTTGGGTGTAGCTTTGAGGAGTTGAGGCGAGTTATATTGGTGACTTTCCATAGTCAGCCCTAGGATCATTTTCCAAACGACAAGTTTAACATATGCTTCGCAACTTTGATGAGTAATTCTTTTCATCTTTAGGTGACTAACCTTGAAGCTGGCCCACAAACGTGGACCCATTTGACTTGAAACCTGTCTAAGTTATATTTGGATGTATATTTAGTTCATTAATTTTTTTATCTCTTTGAACAAGTTATAAAAGAACAATAGAATAAAAACAATTTTCTTTTGCTAAGATGACTCTTTGATTATGACTATTTATGTTGATTTGATAGGTTCTACATACAAATCACGATCAAGTGAAGTCTATAAATGCTTAATAACTTTCCTTCTGTGGACTTTACTTGAACTTCTTTCATATTCTAAAATTTTGATAAAGCCTAGAACTTCACTTGGAAAGTTGTTGTAATGTTGCTGAAACTGTATTAGGATTGAGAGAGGTGTGAGAGTTTGGATAAGTTTTCTTCGTTTTCTTTGTTGAAGAAGATTAAAGAGGAGAAAATTGAAAAAATTGATGCAAGTGATTAGGGTGATGTTCTGTGGAGACAATAAAAACTTTTTAGTGACATTATCATTGCATCTAGCTAGTTGCCAACTTTTGAGGCTAACTGGGTAATTAGATTCCCAAAGAAACTTGCTATAGAGGGTGACCAATATGCTAATATGACCACCAACTCGAGGGTTGGAGGCAAGGGAGCTCATTATGAAGATCAAGGTAATATTAGAGGATTTGTTGAACTGTTGACTTTAGACTTTTCAAGTGCAAAATCTTAAGTTCCATCAACAAGGATTTTGAATGTTTAAATTCGATGGTACTCTCCCTTCAAGCAATTGGAGCTTGAAAGTCAAAATATACTAAGATAAATATCTTGCCCAACCTTTTGGAGAAGCTAAAAGCATTCGTTGAGGTGACTTGATGGAGATATTTGTTGCTCATTTGAGTCAACTTGATGCATGTCTCCTTGAGTAAGTCATTTTGCTATTAGTGCCATGTTCTTTCTTTATAATTTGATTCTCCATGAATCATTCTCATGTGATGCTTTTTTTTTTAATTTTTAATTTTTATTTTTTATTGTTGTTGTCCAAGTGTTGCTGAGAGGAGTGATGTCATCACTTTTTGCCAAGTATGAGAACATCCTGATGCCTTCAAGTCATCCTCGTACATGCTAATCATCTTTTCTCTTGCAAGCGAGAAAGATAAATTCTATTAGTAATATATAAATATCTTTTGTCCCCATTTTCCTTTTTTGTTATTAATATTTTCAGTGTGATGTTTTAAAGAATATTCTTAGAGATTTAATAGAAGATTTAATTATTTCATTTTATTGATATGATTATTTTTATTGATTAAAATTTATCAATTTGACTTTGAAAAAGATATTTGTGATGCTGAGGTATTGTTTCCTTAAAATTTCTACTTAAGCAAATTTATATTTTCACATTTCTTTAGTCGTGATTATGATAGGAAGTGCTTGTAAAAAAAAATTAAATTTCAGCCCTCCCAAACTCTATCCACAAGAAGAATTAGTAGGAAAAATCAGAGAAATTTTCTTTTTAATTAATGATAGATGGAAGAAAACAATAAGATATAATGGATCCTCAACTGGAGAGAAGCATCCGACTCTCCCAATTCTCTAGCCGCTGTCTAGAGCCCAACACACCCTAAAACACCACAATTTTAGCAAACATAACATAACCCTAATCCTAGAAAAATAACCTACTTAAAACATACAATAATGATGTAAATCCTAAAATAATCCCTCCTTTGAATTTTTCCTCCCAATCAAACCTTAATTCCCTCTTTAAAAAGGCTGCTGGACCCCACCCCATGGAGGTGAAGAGTTCCATTTCTGATATATAAAGGTCGGTTCAAGATGGATCAGATGGACCAGTTTGGGGCTTGTCTAACAATACCCCCTCCCAAAGACCCACCTTATCCTCAAGGTGGAAGGATGAAAATTGATGCTTCACTCTTGTATGGCTCCTATGTGGCATCATATTCGGGTAGGTTCTTTCACTTTATCAACACTTTCTTGTGCCTACTCTCTCCCTATCTTACCCCTTTCAGCTCTAGTGGTTCTAACACTACCTCCAAATTTTTTTTAGTGTCCCGGGTAACTCTGAATTAGATGCATGATCACTAATAACTATTCTAAATTGTGGCACGTGGAACATTGAGTGTATGGTAGCAGTCGAGAGTAACCTCACTCGATAGCCCACTGCTCCAATCCTTTCCGTTATTTCATAAGGTCCAAATACCTTGAAGCCAGCTTCTCATTCCTTTTATTAGCTACCGACCTTTATATGTAGGGACGAAAATTCAAGTAAAACCTATCTCCTACCAATTAGCTTGCCAACCAACCCTCTCTCAAGCCTTGCTATGTTGGCGTGGATTGAATCCATGTTCAAGGTCACTAAACTACCATCCTCTGACATAACGCCCGCCTTGCACTGCATCAATCTTGAAAATCTCCGCTCTATTCCAATCATTGTAGAGTTTTGGGGCAATTTTGGTAGCATTCAGCTGCATGAGGGGCTGGTTTTGTAGAGCAATTTGATCACTCCAGCTAGCATATTTTGAAGGGGCCTTTGCATAAACACCTGAAATGCAGTTCGCTGCTTTAGAGGTATCAGTAAAGGCTGCATCTAGCATTTCTACACACCTGCTCTGGTCTTTTCTAGAAGAAATAACATCCATACAATCATCCATTTCTAAACATCTATTCACAAGATCTCCACTACAAGCATTAACTCCCATGACATTATTAGCAATACGACGTACCTGAGCCGGAGAAGCCACAACAACAAGAGTTGGAGCAACAATCAATTTGGAGCCTCCCAAGTTCCCACCAACCATATCATCGTGCGGTACTCATCGAGAACCCATTCGCATGACCCCTACTTGGCCTCAATGATAGCATTCCGCTGATTCAAGCAGCCCTTAGACTCTGACGCAACATGAGAAGCCAGCAACAAGGGATTTGTAGCTCCAAGGTCGGGTGAGCTTAATTTGAAATGTCCAAATGAAGGGAGGTTTCACACTATAATGGATGGAGAACTGTGCCTGCTAATCCAAATTATAATCATTATGAAGATCTAACTCATCCTACTCTTGTTCCAAAGAACCCAAGGAAGAAATTGTTGCAAGCAAGTGATCTGATTGAAGCAAATGAAAATTCAGTGCTTTGCTGCCTTTCCTGTTGCTGGGCAAACAAATCCGTAGCTTGACAAACAAGCCACTAGATTTTGCCGGCCAAATTAACTTCAATTGAGCCTTCCGACATTGTGGTCTCTGCTCTTTGATTTCAACCACCCTCGATTGAGCCTTCCGACATTGTCGTCTCTGTTCTTTGATTTCAACCACATCTTTGATGCGGCTCTTCACCCATTACCAACCACTTGAGAGGGAGGAGGTGATGCAAGTTTACCTTCCACCATACCAGAGCGTTTTTCACTAAATTACTCCAGAGAGAGAGAAGATTGTTAAAAATTCTGTAGGTTCTTATTGGGAATAACATTCTGGCATTGCCTTGAAAGTTGGAGAACAAATGCTTATAACCCCTGCCGTATTTCAACTTGAGTGCCATATTTTTAAGTTGAATCTTTTCTTGTGCCACCTTCGATTCTTATAGCCAAAATCAGTAGTAACAAGACAATTATGGAAAAAGAAAGCAATTAAAAGAGGAATACAATAATATTTAATCAAAAAATAATGAACTTAAATATTAACAATAAGTATTTATTCAACTTATAACAATTTTCACTATGGTCTATTATTTATTCAACTTCTACAATGTTCACTCTGGCGTAACCTTTGTCTCCCTGAATCTATTATGAGAATTCCACCCCTAAACATTATGGATGCCATTTCAAGTATTTTAAATGTCCTAACCATGCCAATTTGAACTCTTACCATTTCATCCAACAGAGATGTGATACCAAAAAATTTTTATATAGATATTTTGAACTTTAGAGAAGTAGTTTTTTGTCATTTTCTATAACATGCATATTCATGTTTCCTTTCATCCCACCATACTAAACGATTGAACAAAGCTACATTGAGTTCCAATCACTTCCTACTTCCTACTATTTACCTCTAAACAAAACTAGCTTTTATTTTACCTTCCTGTTGCAATATAGCCAGTTCATGCAGAACAAAATTACAGCCACTTTTCTGAGTGCTAGAAATATTCAACTACAGGCTGGTCAGTTGGTGCTGGGGAAACTAACAGGATCAAATCTGTCACTGCATTTTACCCCAAGGAAGTTTCTAATTCCAATGGTACTTCTGTCGAACGAATCCATCCTATGATTCCCTCTGATTGGTTATTCAACTTAATTATGCTGAGAGGATCTCTACAGTCAGTGTCACCATCGTTGGAGTCGGTCCGGATTTCACTGGACTAGGATCTTTTGGTAAAGTGGATGCTTTTGCAGAAACTCTTGTACGTATAACTATTAATTCCAGTGCTTAAGCTTGTCATCTTTGTATGGATATGCCTGTTGTTTGATTTGATCTGTGGTGTGCTTGGAAAGGTAAATGGCTTGGACAGAAGTTGGCAAAGGCCCCCGGGGGTTGCGGCAAAACTCATCAATTCTGCAGCTGCAAATGGTATTTTCATAATCTTTGGCTTATTTGTAGATCTGGAAATTTTTGGCCGTTGATATTCCCCATTTTTTGCAGGCTTGTACTATATTGAGTATACTTTGCAAAATCCTGGTGAAAGATTGAGGCATATATTCTCAGCCATTGGCATAGCATCCAATGGATGGTATAATAGGCTTTACACAGTTACCGGTCAGGTGCAATTGTTCTACCCAACCCAATTAGATTCTTTTGATCATGACCAATCACTCGGATCTTTTTTGCATGGTTTTTGATGGTAGTATAAATGCATGTTATTTTGAAACTTCTTGGAGTTCTATTTTGGTTTGTTTACTTATGTAATCATAGATGAACTTTCATGAATCTCGTTCTATAATTTGCATTTTATTTCATCTCTAAATTTGCAATGAATTCATCGCAGTTCATGGATGATGAGGAGGAGAACTACAAGTCCCTAGTTGAAAAGGTGGGTTCAAATTTGATTATTTTTGAATCGCCTCGCCTAGCTTGAACTGCAAATAATTATAATCGATCTCTTTGCAGTCTGTTTTATCATTTAGGTTAATATAGACTTGAAGGAAATGGGAACCAGTCCGCTGGGCCTTGAAGGAGCATTGGTGTTTGCAAGAGTCAGCACAAACTCAGCTTCATCTAACATTAGTCTCTTTCGAATGATTTGTTTACTAAATGTACCAAATCTTTTGATATGTACTTTAAAGTGAGGCTTGCAACCCATATCACCTGTAAATATTGAGCAGGGCAACTTTATTCTAAATATTTAGTTTTGTATTATTACTAGTCTTAAGACCAATTATCTACTTAGACATTCTACAGAAATTTGAGTCTTCATGATAAATTGTAATATCAAGGCAACTCTTGGTACAGCTTTCCAATCGCTCGGCCTTGGCAAATGAGGACAATGGTTTAGTTTAGGTTTTTCACTTATTTTGTTTTTTATTTATTTATTTTGCTACATTCGAGAAAGCAAGGGATTGGTTGAATTTTTGTTTGCAGACACTTTCAACAATACTAGAAATGCTACAGTTTCGGATTCAAATAATGCCTAAGCATTCATCCTTAATTTAGGATTCGTTTTATATATATATATATTGATTTTGTTTTGAATTTGCCTACAAAACCTCTTAGAAGAAGTTACTGTGCTTCAAAGAAAATGCTAAAAATTTATTAGATTTTTGTTAGGCAATGTTTTGCCTAAGTATGGATAATGTTATATGACTGCCTATTGTGTTTAACTTTTCTCTTATTATAGATTCAAGTGAAAGTTCAACGTTATAGGCATAATTACAATTAGGAAATACAACAGAGTTTATATTTAAAGGTTTAATGAAAAAGGCTGTGAGGCAAATAAATTTGGTTTGTTAGTAGTTATCTGATAGTTAGGAGACTTCATGTGAGTGTTGCATTGAGTCTGAATATGATGGATGAATTCTTTTGATGAAAAACACTTGGTATAAGTGACTATATTGAGATGAGCCACATTTTTTAAGGGAGAAAAAAAGTTTTTGATGAATAAACGAATTCAATATTATGAGCTTTAGGTTCTGTTTAGGACAAATTTTTATATTAAGAAGTTGCTTTTGAAAGTAGTAGGACTGCCATCCCAAAGGAAGCCTTAGAGATGAGTAGTCTTCCTTGGTTGATTTAACGAAATGCAACTTTAATCGAATCATGCCTTTGGATGACTTCATTTTGGCTAGCGTTGAGTTGGTCATAGCAAGTTTATAGGATGAATTGATAAATTCAAATTACAAAAAATTGTGTGTACATTGTTATCTATTCATTACATTAGCCAAAAATAATAATAAAAGAATAGTCTTTAATATGTATGAGTTGACCTATTGAATGCTAGGGGTGTCAATATTTGACGCGACTCGAATTCCCAACTTGAAGCTAACCCCAAAAATTTATGATTAGGGTCAACTCATTTAGAAAATAGGTAGGGTTCGGGTTTTAAATCCCTACATGATTGCAAATTTGGCTGATAAATCAACTTGGAACCAACCTGGTTCGCATCCCGCATAGCAATGCGAGTCTGCGACCCCTCCCACGACCTTGCCTCAAGCTTGCCTCGTTGCATGTGCTCGCTCTCGCCTCGTGGACTACACTTGAGCTTGCCTCATTGCCCCAACGAACCAACGCTCGGAGCCACGCCTAGTCATTTTCCTTATTTGCGCATGCGCTCTCCTGCCACACAGGTGCTAGCCTGACTTGCCCTCGACTAGCTTGGGTCATCCGCACTCTCGCCCACATGCATCCCCTGCTCTCGCATGCACCTACACTCATGCTCGTTGCTATGGTAAGTGGCAACCCAGGATAATCAGGTCGAGTCGGGTAAATACGATAACCCGATTGGTTGGGTCGGGTTGTTATTTCTGACTCGTTTGGAAAAATGGTTCAAGTTCTGTTCGATTCAAATAGTAGCTGATCAATATCGGGTTCGACTTGAACCCGAACTACAACTCATTTTCGACACCCCTATTGAATGCTATTAAAGAAATGGATTAGTAATTCCTATCTAATACGTCAGCTAGAAATAATGAAACTGTTAGTATTAGACTTTAGAGATTATTTTATAAAATTTCTATTTAGCTTTACCACATGTTTCAAGCTTTAATTTTAAATATTTATGCTTTGTCAAGATGAAGAAGGATATTATAATGTGGGCTCCGAAAATTCGGCCCCGGCCTCCGCCCACATTGCTTTTCTTTCTTAAGGGGACTTTTAATGGATTAAGTTCTAGGGTAAATTTTGGAAAGGCATATGGGTTTGTAGATAAGACACTACCCAGAGATTTGCCCTCATTTTGTGAGGACTTTATGATCTGTGTTCTGGTTTCCTATAGGTGCAAGCCCCTAAAGTTAATTACCCCTCTTGATAATGAGAGAGAACTTTCGATTAAGGTTAGTTGTTAATCATATATGTTGTATTTATTTATACATAGTATTAGGTGTATAGTAGCAACATGAGCATAAGCATTTGGAAAGGGTTGATATTTGAAATTGGGAATTTCACCACCTTGCACTTAAAGAAGATGGTGGGGGAATGGATGATGGACCCGATCAAGATTCTATGGTTCCATCATTCCGAGCCATCGTGGTCCCTGGTCTACTTAGTCAGAGGAGGTAGTCGACCCAACCTAATAGAAGGATCCTTGTCGGAAGCCATGAGTTTCTTCGTCTAAGGGAACTTTGTAGACCTTAGGAGGATGTTTATCTAAGAGTACAAATTTAAATCCACATTAGCTAACATAGGGCTTTATGCCTTATCGATCATATCCTATTAATTCATATCTCAAGGGTTTGATGCCACTAAGGAACATATTGGCTCTGGCCATAACCAGTATTTTATGGTGTTATTTGGTGACAAAATAACTCGGTTCAGAGGGCCCCAGATCATAATAGATTATCCTGCGGTGCCATTTGACAGCAAAAGTGCTGGTCAGAGGACACGTACCCCATCCTTATTGGCTGGAGATTGTTTGAGAATGGATCCTACTGATATTTTTGACTAGGCATTAGCTCGAAGTGAGTTGAAGTAAATTATAATTTATCCACCTCGACAAACTGTTACGGAGGGTGGATGAGTTTTTCTTTAAGTACTTGAATGGTTGGATTTCAATTTTAAATATTTTAGACTTGGATGATTTTGGGATTTTCTGGGATTTTTAGATTTTTGACATTGTAGAATTTTGGATTTTCACAGTTATTTGGGTGAAATTTGAAATATTTGGAGTTAACCCCTCCTGTTGAGATCTGCATTCAACACGACCATCATCGAGATGTGTGGGGTTATTCATTGACTAAACCTTATCAACCCTATCAACTTGCCGAAAGGGGTTCAGTTTTCGTAGGCTTTATGCCTTTATTAGTGAATTCTCATTGTGATAGGCATTGAAGGCCTAATATGAATGTATTAAGACAAATATACCGATCACCACAACTGTATGTTTGTTTGATGGTTCGAACCTTGTCGCCCTATTGATTAGTCTAGAAAGATTAGGTTCGAACTTGAATTCACTTATTGATCCGCACAACATCCCTAAACATCACATGTGTACCCATAAAATGCACGTCGGGGACCATGCAGGTGTTTTGGATTGCACGTACCCCTTTGTGTACCTATGTGTATACAAACTATGGTGCATATACAGGGTCATTCTAGATATTCAATAATTTTTTTATGACGGCTCATAGAAGTTCATCTTTGTCATAGTCTTTTCAGCATTTTCTTGTGGGTAGTGACTATGTGTACAATGAGTTTCCTACATTGACTCGTAGGAGCTTGCATTTGTTGTAGCCCTTTAGTATTCATTCGTAGATAGTATGTAATATTCATAACGGGGCTCCAACAGAAGCTCATAAGAGCTTATATATGCTTTATTATTATGTAATTTTCTTGTGGTCTTGGTCATTAAAACACATCCACTACTGCTGCAGGCACATGAATTCATTCACAAACTGAAGTTAACTATAGGATACTGCATTTACTGAAGTTTTTCAGCATCTACCGATGGGTGGATATTGTATGTACATATGTATTCGTAGAGGACTTGTATGTATTACAGATCATCTATCCTTGCTTGTCGAAGGCTGATATATTTGACTAATACTTAGTAGATATCGACTGTATGCATAATTTGGCACCCATTGCACATTAATCATCATCACCCATAAGTGGACTACTATATGGGTGAGAAATGTTTTATATTTGCTTGTGGCAAGCATGGTGGACTTGTATCATTGATATTTGCTTGCAATCAATTATATATACCCTTCCAATTTTCATTGTTTGCGAGGATTTGATGTATTTGCTTAATACTAAATTGCATCTCGATATTTTTGTTCATAGAGAACTGCTCTAGTCACTTGTGTGTTGCTCAATGTTGGCTCTAGAATACTACAATTATCACTTCCTTTATGCTTGTGGGGAATATGAATGTATGATTGCTACGATATTATCCCATGTGGTATGAACAATTATTGTAAGCTTCTATGTTTGCCATGTCCATTGTAGAGATGTTAATAGATCTCAAAAATTCATTTATGAGCATATCACTACAATACTCATGGATTAATCATTTCATGCATTTGAGAATCTTGACCTCATTTTACATCTGCATATTATCATTGGGGTCAAACATTTCACAATTCAGCTCACAGTTCTTGTTCCTTATCATTCAAGTTCCAAGTTCAAGCTTCTTATGCCTATTAATGTTCAAACAAATAATACAGAGATTTAATCAACATTTGCATTCCAATCAATGTGACGACCCATTAATATCTCACATCTTGCATGTCTCTTTTTGAACAAGCCACTGCCTCTACCATAATCTTTTTGCATATGTTTGTAGGATGGTGATTAATGTTATTGTAAGTCTTTGATTTTCAGTTACAAGATGAATGATTGTATTACAGGTTTCTTCTCCTTGCTTGTAGCTTAATTTGTTGAAGATGGAAATTTGTTTTAGTCTCATCGATTGATGTTCATTTGAATGTTTTGTATCATTGATTGGTATCTTGACTATTCTTCAAATCAAATTCTTTATCGTTATTCATGGCTTGTAACATGTAGAATGATCCTTCACAAGTGTTTCATTTGCTCATGAGCAAATCCTATTCATTTGAAGTCTTGGAATAAGTCCTTTATTATCACACGAAGATGATTTGGGTAACACATGATTTCATTACTGAATTACATTTGTATCTTAACTGAAATAACAATTTGTTATCATTCATTGAAGGCCTTGCATTGTTAAGAGTAAGCACGTCATTGCATTCATTCCCTTGCAGTCAATGCAATTACTCCAAATAACCCACATACATGATTAGGATATATGTATGAACCAATCATAAACATGCTAAATTGAAATACATGAATCCCTTATTTATCC